TGAATAGGACAAAAGAAAAGTAAAAAAAAAGGTTAGTTTGTGTTTAACTTTTAGTTTTAAGTCAAATTTTCAAAAAAAACCTTTACTATATGTCTCAACTCCTAATTTCTTATAAAAATTGATTAAATAGTCTAATCTAATTTTAAATATTTTATATATGAAAGAAAACAAAAATAAAGAGAGCAAATTTTAATATTTTCTATGTTTTTAAGAAATGTGAAATTTCTCTTATATTTTTAATAGTTAATATATAATTATATATTAATATTAATTAATGTATTGACCCAGTAATCCGCTGATCTGGCAAAGTATCTGGTTTAATGTTTGAGTCGGGTTTAAAAACATTTCTTTTGAACTAATACATTAGAGGATGAAACACTAAATCAAAGGTAATCAAAGGTTAAATGATCAATATATTATGGGTCCACTTCTTTACACCCGGCCCCTCGCTTGCAACCAACACTAAAACCCCCCAGACTTATAATTTAGCAAATTTTAAAGTGTTAGTTGTAAGCGAGGGGCCGGGTGTAAAGAAGTATTTTAATTTTAGTGTTTAAATTTTTTTTTTTGGACAACCCTAGACTCTTTAACTCATCAGTTCACTCCCCGAACTTTTTTTATCCTATTCATTTCTACATTTTTTCTTATTTCCTACTACTTGCTGTTACAACCAAAAATGTGATTAGTCTAATCACGTTTGTCCTAAATAAATCTGGTTAATGATATAACCCAACCCAAATCACCCAACGAAACAAATGAAAAACACGAGGGTTCATGTGTAGACAATACGTAAGAATTGAAAATGGATGGGGGAGAGAGATGACTGTAACGCCACTAGTTTCGGTTTCGAAAATTGTTAGCCTGCTAAGACTCATCCCATACCCCTTTTTCCTATAAATACCCAGCCTCAGCCATCAATTCGATTTCAATCTGGTCAAGGGTTAACCGGTTTGGATCAGAGTTGACCTGGTTGATTTTTGACCAGTGGGCTGACTTTCCGTAGACATCCGTTTTGACCGTTCGAAGGGAATTCTGACTTGAAATTTTGATTTGATTACAGATTTGAGATCTATTTGAGCAGCTAGAGTTCATAGATACCAGTTATCCAAGTTGCTAAAGTGAGCGTCTATTCCTGAATTTTTCGTACTCAATTTAGGATTTCGAATAAATATAATTTATTTTTAATATGTTCCGTCTGCGTGAAATCGAGTATGGCATTGCTTGTTTAGATTTTAGGTTCTTTGCTTACACCAGAATTATAAATTTAGATGATTCAACATTGATTGATTCACTTTATGTAATTTGTTTGGCCGGATATAGAGACAGACTTCTGTATATGAGATTGTATGAGGAGCAACGGCCAGTCAGTCGATCTGCTGGACCGTAGTGTGGTGTGGTCGATAAAGCGTCTGAGGGCAGTGACACCAAGCACTCTCACTGAAGTGTTATGTTTGGCCTGTTAGAAGGCAGCGAGTGCGCGACTCTCTAGGACCATTGTTTGATGATTGGGTACTTTAGGTACTGTGTTTGACATGTATTAGAATTAATTAATACTTATTCAAAGTGCTATGTCCGGATCCACGGACTTTGGAGTAGCATCCCATACCCCACTGTGTGATTCTCCTCTTGCTTACCCCCTCATTCTTTCCCTTTTAGGTGAGACCGACGACCAAGAGTGATCTACCGGATGGGTGCTATTGGGCTTCTATCGTATTTTATCGTTATTGAGCTTATAGGTTATTGGAATTTTATCGCTTATGTTATTTCGTATTTTAAACTTTTGGTTTATGTTGTTCTCGTTATCACGGATGTTATGTATGGACTTTTGGACCGACTTATATATATGACTTTCGTAAAATGAAATATGTTAACTTTTAAATATTAATATTAAATTTGATATTTTGTTACAATAACTTTGACAAAAATTGATGGTGGTGGAAGAGAAATCAAAATCGTGATTGATCACCCATGATTTCAAAATCGAGGGTTCATGTGGAAGAAAACTTTGAGTTCACAAAGAGCGAACGACCGCATTCTTGCGTAAGGAATTGTTCTATGCTTCTCCACTTCTGCTTCAAGACATCTATACTATTAAAATTGGAATACAAAATATAATTTAGCTTTCTTCCAACAAGTTATTACATTAATTGTTAATCCATTTTTCATTCAATTTAGAAATTTCATTAATTATATATATATTTAACATCAAAATGCTATTCTATTACTAAAGCTTGAGGTGGTCCAGGGATCCAAACCGGAATAGAACAACCAAAAAATACACATTACGATAAAAGGTATGAGCAATCCTAACTAATCCATCTGCAGTTCGATTTTCCTTTCTTGGTATGTATGAGATCTTGAAGTCTGGAAATCTTTCCTTCAATGAAGCCAATTCTCCTAGCTCTGCGGAGTAGCTTGGCCAGTCCTCCGTGTTCTGAATCATCATCATCACATTCATGCAGTCCATCCCAAAGTGCTGACAGTTTGTGTTATGAATCATGCTCTCCATTGCCCAGATCAGAGCCTCCAGTTCTGTGTGTAACGAAGACATACGGTTTTATTTTTTCCTTAGTCCTAAGAGTTGTTCCTTCCCTAAACCATCCTTCCAGACCCATCCAAATCCACTGTGATCTGCTTTAGCTGTCCATGATCCATCCACTAAACATATGGTTTGCAGCTTATGACTTGCATACCTGTGTGTGCTGGTTGATATGCTTGTGTGGTTATAGCATTTGCTTCAAACCAAGCGTTGCATTCACTTTCTACTTGCCTAACTAATTTAAGTGGATCTCTTGAGATACCTCTGAATAGCTTATCATTCCGCACTTTCCATAGGAACCAAATGATCCATGGATAGGGATATTTATCAAGATCATGATCTTCAGTCTCATTCTTTCTCCAAAACAAATAGTCCAAATTTGTAAATATGCTTGACGTTGGGAAGGTTCCCGGCCGTGACAGAGTGGAAGCAAGAGCCCATGTTTGCAAAGCTGGAGCGCATTCAAAAATTGTGTGGTTAGCCGATTCATCAGGCTCCCCACATCTTAGACAATGATTATCACCACGCATATGGCGCCTCGTTAGATTTCTTGTGACTGCAATGTATCCAGACACCAATTGCCATATAAGACGGTGAATCTTTTGTGGTGCTTGAATTCTCCATGCAAATGCCTTTAAGCAGTTTGTATTTGGCTCCATCACCACTTCTTCATCCTCACGGCTCAGAATGTTCCTGCGACCCAATATCCTAATTTTACTGTATACATCCCATGCCGTACATCCCATGCCGAGTATAGCTCCATCTGATTGAATATATTACCATAACAATGTATCACATCATTATATTACCATAAGAATAATGCATATTTTAACTTATTAGTTGATCAACTTTAATTTTGTGCCAATTATAAAAATCAAAATGTAATCAAGCCCAAAAAGTTAATGCATTACTAGTTTTTAGGTCACCATCTGATTGATTATTGGGTCAAATAAATTTTATTTTATACCTATATAATTACTTTTTGAAAATAACCATTCATTCATCATAATAATTATAAATTATACCACTGATTTAATAACTATTAATTAATTAACTACAAACTATTTATTTTGTTAAATTATTCTCTAACCAAACTTACCATTATTCTGTAAACAAAATATTCTCTAATCAAGGTCTACAACAAAAATAAACAGATTTATTTAATATGTAACATACAAACTTTAAATATTATATATTCATTTCATATATAAATATAAAATATATATGTTTTATTTAAGGATATAAAATTATTTCTTATATATGTTAAATAACTCGATGAGTAAATTTAATATTTCTTCAAAAATAAACAAAAGAAATTTATTTGTCTTATAAAACCTTGAAGTCGTGTATATTTATTTTGTTAAAATAGAAGTGAATTTATTTGACATAATATTTTATTTTGGAAAGATGAATATATTAATATACATAAACATAAAATAAATAAATAAATAAATAAATAAATGGTCAATGTAATTGAAATTACTAATTAACGAATATGTTATATCATTTTGAATGATTTTAGTATCTAACCACAATATGAGTAAACTACAATTTACGCACAACTAAAAACTGTCGATCTATCATAAATATTATATAATACAAATGAAAAACAAAAATCCATATTGATACATATATATGTGCAACCATTACATTCATGTGCTATGAAGAATTTCATATGTTTCTTCTATTAAATTAATATCCGTACGGGTGCACAGATCAAATTCTATTTTTTATTATTATTACAATTTTAGCTGTTGGTTAGTGATTCAACAACATTAAATCCAGATATTAGCTTGATGGAGTTATATGAAGAAGCTGGAACTTATAATTGAAGAAGGTAGGTAATAAGTGAAAGTAAATTGAAGAATATGGCCAAGTGTTTGAAAGATTCTAAGCAAGGGGAAGGTTTCATGATGAGCTGCTTCATATCTTCTTTATCTCGTACACTTCTCCTAACTTCAGAATCATTCTTGCTAGCTCCCTACATGGCTACATGACGATCCTTCTCTATTCAAAAAACTCTAAAGTTAAAACAAAACCCAATTCAAATGGTCACACAAAACGAATTTGCAAATGATCACATGACTAATATAATAGCCATACAAAGCTCTTCATCTTAAAAAAAAAAAGTTCTTTCTGTAAATGTGAGAGTTATCTACTAGAGCACACACTAAGTACCACATGGATAATCCTTTTCAAAGCACATACAAGTTCTTTCTAAAAACAATTTTCAAGCAAGCTCAAGACAACCTTTTACTTATTGACTAGACACTCACATTCACAGACTTGTAGGAAGTCTGTGAACCAAGCTTCTAACCCCTTAGTAGTTTGCTTCCCCTTATTCGGATGTACAAAGCTAAAAGCTCTCTATGTGTGTATTGATACTTCCATAGACTTATTACAGTTTCAGCGTCTAGTAAACACCATTCTTCAACGAGGATCTAGATTTGTAATCGTCACATTATTGATGAAACCTGGAACAGAACTGCTTATAGACTGAGGCAAAATCATGCATGCTTGAGAAGAAAAATCCGGGCGCTTGAGGCACAGATAAAGTGGTTTTGCTTCTAGTGACCATAAAGATGATTTCTGGAAAAATTGGAAGATCTGCAGGGTTTTCTTGAACACATAAAAATGCAATATGGATGCATTTAATAACCTCGTCACTCTCAAAATTCTCTTCTAATGTCGGATCCAAAAGTTCTAATGGTGACCCGTTTCTCCAAAGCCTCCAGGTCTAACACAAGTGACCAAGTTAATTTATTATAGCCTTTGACTTTATCAAATATACTCATATTCATGATATGCTCTTACATGTGTGACCAAGTTGCTAGCAGAATCATCAATGCGGTAGAAGATGCTATTCCTTTTGCCACTTATAATCTCCAATAGCATAACTCCAAATCTATAGACATCACATTTCATGAAGAAATGGCCACGCATCACATATTCTGGAGACATATAACCACTGCAACATAAAGAAACACCATTTTAGCTTACAAGCAATGACCAAGCAGATGTTTTAAAGTCAATAATTTTTTTTTTTACTATATTCTGGCGATTTTTTTTGTGTTGGCCTGAGACTGATAAACTCCAAACATCCTTGCATGCCAAATCTGCGATTTTCGGGTTCATGTCGGCATCTAAGAGAATGTTACTCGCTTTGAAGCCTTGGTGTATTATTGTTAGACTTGAACAATGATGAAGATATTGAAGCCCTCGAGCAGACCCTTGAATAATGTTGTACCTTCTTGTCCAGTCAAGTTTTCCTTGCTTTTCAGGATCTGTACATTGCCAATGAATTATTTAGCTACTAAGAAGTACTCAAAAACTTGTAAGTATTGATTAACCTCACCATACCAAACAAAAAATAGTCGAGGCTTTTGTTGGGTACAAACTCATAGATGAGTATTTCTTCTTCTCCTTCCGAACAAAAGCCAAGAACTCTGACCAGATTCTTGTGCTGAAGCTTTTTCACAAGAACAGCCTCGTTCTTGAACACTTTCGCGCCCTGCCCTGATGATTTGAAAGCTTCTTCACCGCTACTTCAGTACCAGTTGGAAGCCTTCCTTACAGAAGTAAGATGAACCCTGCTGTGATTCAACTTCATCACAGAGAATTAGCAAACTAGAAAAAAGAAAAGAACTTATTACCCTGTAAACTTCACCAAATTCACCTTGTCCTATTAGATTACTGTCTGAAAACTTATCAGTTGTAGCTTCGATTGTCTTAACACTAAACTGCACTGAGCGTGTTTGGGTAATTTCATCACCATATGTACAAAAAAAATTGAAAACATCTTCCTCAGCATCATATACTCAATGTAATCATTCCTTTGAAAAGGGATCAAGAACCAACTAACCTTGAAATTTAGTTACTTGTTCTGATATCTTTCTTTTGCAAACCGTGAATCTTACAACAAGAACTGCCACGATAACGATGGTGGGGACAACAATTGCCACAATAGTCCCTGTCAAACTTGCTTTTCCATCTGCATAAGCTACAAACCACTGCATATGAGAAGAAGCTGTCCACAGATTCTTGTTACAAATCATATGAAGAAGCTTTACCTTTCTTGGTTGTATTTGCACAATCACTAGCCAGAGGAGTCAGAGAAGGTGGTGACGGATGCGGTGGAGGTGAAGGTGGTGGCAATGTAATAGTATCAAAAGCTTCAAGATACTATTGCATTGCCTTGGTCGGCTAACCCAACCACCTTGTTTACTGTGACAAGATGAGTTATATACTCAATTACACTTTTGTTGAGAAAAAACTCACAATCTTGTGAGGAAACATCCGGTGTACATTGCATCATCGTATACATACTTTTGAAAGTTCTCAACGAGGCAACCTCAGCTGCATAGTACTTTTGTTCAAACGATGATGATTCGTTTGAAGCTGCAGCTATTGTATGAACCATTAACTCTTCATACGCTCTATCAAACACTGTCAAATTAACATTGAGATCTATGATATCTCCGGGAGTGTAAAGCACTTGAGACGGTTCCATAATGAGTGATCCAGTGAAAGAGATGTTCGAATAACGTACCACAACTTAAATGCACTCATAGGACGTACCGTTTTGAAGACAGGCGATTTTGGCGATTCGCAAGGCGATTTCGTACGAGTTTCTCTCGATGGATCTGGCTAATCTGCCGGGCTCATCGTCTCAGGAGATAGGATCGGAGGTCGCAAGGTCTCGGGTGATCGGATCGGAGGATATAAGGGTGGAAGACATAGAGGGAAAGGATACTAAACAAGTTAAGGAGGCGATTTTATCGCAGAGTTGGGTGTCAAAGGCGCATGATAACAAAATTCTGAGAAAGTATGAGGTCGAGGTATCAACTAAGGATGGAAAAAACAAGGTGGAGATCCCGGATGAGGTTATCACTGATTCTACCCCGTTATGGGATGATTTTGTGGTTGGAAAATTTTTAGATATTTCTCCACATCCTGCAAAGGTTCATGTGCTTTTAAGCAAGATCTGGAAGTATGGGGAAATCAACTCGAAGGTGGAGGTGTATGTGGTGAACGCAGCTACTATGAGATTTAGAGTTTCGAATCCCAAAGCCCGTGAAAAGATTCTTAACAGGGGTATGTGGAATGTTGTAGGAGTTCCAATGGTGGTCACCAAATGGTCACCAAAAACTGAGGAAGAGAAGCAAGAGGAAACTGAGTTTCCTATGTGGGTACACTTGAAGACGGTGCCGTTGCATATGTATTCATGGAAAGGACTTAGTTTTTTTACAAGCACAGTGGGGACTCCAGATCGATTGCATCCGGAAACCATAGCATGCACTAATCTAGAAGAAGCCAAGATCTTTGTCAACGTGGATGTATCAAAAGAGTTGCCGAAAGAGATTGAGTTTACAAAAGATGGGAAGGAATTTACAATTGTTTATCATTATCCTTGGCTTACAGCAAGGTGTAATTTGTGTGATAAATGGGGTCATACCGACAAGGTATGTAGGAAGAATGGGAAAAAGGAAGAAACCAAATGAAGTTGAAGGAAAAGAAAAGATGGAGAGTAGAGAAGGAGATAAAGAGGAGAGAGTACGCAAAGTCTTAGAGTCTGGAAAAAACTCTAATAAGAGTAAGGGAATTGATATTGGAGAATTGAGTAGTGGAGGTAATAAAGGAAAGTTGGTAGGAAGTTTGTTGAAGGAAAATTCAGGGAGTAAAGAAGTGATAGAGAAGATAAAAGGAAGTGAGGTGAATTCAGAAATAGAGGGTAATGCTTTGTCTTCTTCTGGTAAAGTGAGGAGAATAATGTAACCAGAGGGGAGAAACGATGACATTCAGATATCCGCCTCGAAGTATTCTATCTTAAGTTTGGATTTGGATAACGAGGAAGGAGAGATACTTGAAGAAAAATAGAACACGGAGAATAATGTGGAGGATCAGATGGAGGAGTCAGAGACTGACCTATTGGAAAGATAACATACTAGCTCACCAAGAGAAAGAAAAAGAAAAGTCTGAGACAAAAAAGGGGACGAGAAGACAACAGAAGGCCAAAGCTCAGGGTGCATACCCAAAGAGTACAAGGTCCTCGCGTCGAAACCATTAATATGACAAGCTTCTTCTGGAATGTACACGGATTTAATAAGAAGTTGAAACATTCCATTGTAAGAGAGTGGGCTAGTAGTTTGGAGATGAAGTTTGGATGCATTTTAGAAACAAGGGTTAAGGAAAATAAGGCAACTGGGATTCTTAATTCAGTGTTCTGTGGATGGTCACATATGATGAATTATGAATTTAGTTGGGGAGGAAGAATTTGGTTAGCATGGAAAGATACTGTTGGTGTGACTCCAGTGTATAAGTCAGACCAAATGATTACGTGTTCTGTGAAGTTACATGGTGAGGATGAATTTTTCTGGACCTTCATTTATGCAAGAAATTTGGTGGAAGATATAAAGGAGTTATGGGAGGATCTCTGTCACCATAAAAACTCTCCTATATTTAGAGATAAGGCTTGGCTAGCAATGAGAGATTTTAATGAGATTCTAGATGTGGAGGAAACCTCGTGTTCTAGTTTGGGAAGCTCAAGCAGTATGCGTGATTTTCAAAGAACTGTTCTGCATTGTAAGTTTACAGATATGGGTTACCAAGGTCCTATTTTTACTTGGTGTAATAAGCAGGATGAAGGAGTTATAAGTAAGAAACTTGACATGGTTTTGATGAATGATGTAGCTCAGAGGAGGTTTTCTACTGCCTATTCAGTGCTTGAGGCTGGAGTTTGTTCGGATCACTTAAGGTGTAAGGTTTGGGTTTTGCCAGTGTAGGAGAAAACTAAAAGGTCGTTTAAGTATGCAAATGTGATTGGAATACTCCAACAATTCCTCCTTCTTGTTCGAGAATATTGAAACTCAACAGATCATTTGTTACACTTTACCTCAGCGCTCTTTAGGTTCTCAAAGAAGCTAAAGCATCTAAAGCCGATCATTAGAGATCTTGGTAACGAGAAGCTTGGTAATCTTACTAAGAAAGCTAAAGAGGCATTTGAAATACTTTGTGTTAAGCAACAGAATACGATGTCAAATCCTAGTGGTACTGCAGTCCAGGATGAGGCAGAGGCGTATGAGAGATAGCTTCATATTGCTGGACTTGAAGAAGATTTCCTGAAACAGAGGGCAAAGTTATAGGTTAGAAGTGGGAGACCAAAAAAAAAGAATTTTCTATAATGCTATAAAGGCTCGTCAAGTGTAGAATAATATTAGGGAAATCAGACGTAAGGATGGTAGTATAGCTGCAACTCAGACATAAATAAAGATTGAGGCAGAGAGATTCTTTTCTGATTTCCTTAACCTCAAGCCTGCGAGTTACCAAGGTGTAACTGAGGAACAGTTGGGGAGAGTTAGTTGATTTCCGTTGTACTGATGGAGACTGCAATATGATGTTAGAGGAAGTAACGGAGGAGGAGATCATGAAAGTTTTATTTGCTATGGCAACAAATAAATCCCATGGACCCTGATGGTTACTCTAGTGAATTCTTCAAAACAGCTTGGTCTATTATTGGAACTGATTTCGTGGTGGCAGTTCAGTCTGTGTTTCAATTTGGGTTTTTACCTAAGGGTATTAATTCCACAATCCTTGCTTTAATCCCCAAGAAGGAAGATTCTCTAGAGATGAAAGACTTCCGACCAATCTCCTGCTGCAACGTATTGTACAAAGTGGTATCCAAGATTCTAGCAAACCGTTTAAAACGGATTCTTCCTCGTCTTATTCTCGAGAACCAATCCGCGTTTATTAAGGGAAGGCTGTTAATGGAAAACGTTTTCTTGGCTTCAGAGTTAGTTAAAGGAAACCATAAGACTACAGTCTCGCCTCGTGGTGTGATGAAGATCTATATTTCGAAGGCGTTTGATTCAGTTCAGTGGGACTTTGTGTTGAAAAGTCTGAAAGTGATTGGTGTGCCAGAAAAATTCATTCATTGGATCAAACTGTGCATCACTTCTCCTTCTTTCTCAGTGCAAGTTAATGGAGAGCTTGCAGGCTATTTCCAAAGTTCTAGAGGCTTGAGGCAGGGGTGTTCTCTTTCTCCTTATCTCTTTGTCTTGTGTATGAACATCTTGTCTCTTAAAATAGATAGAGCTGCGAAGGAGAACAAATTTGATTTCCATCTAGGATGTCGAGCTCTGTCTATTACGCATCTATATTTTGCAGATGATTTGATGATCTTTGTTGAGGGTTCGAAGAGATTTGTGGGAGGTGCTTTGGCTGTTTTTGCTGAATTTGAAGTGTGGTCGGGATTGAGTATAAGTATAAAGAAATCAACATTTATTTGGCTGGTGTTTCAGAGGATGAAAGGACTAGGATTATTGCTAATTTTCCATTTGCACAAGGTATTCTCCCTGTCAGACATCTTGGGCTCCCATTAATGACTCGGGCGATAAGAAGACAAGAGTACTTGCCTCTTGTGGAGAGAATAAGAGGTAAGATTAGTACTTGGACGTGGAGGCATCTATCTTATGCGGACAGTTGATTAAATCGGTTCTGATGAGTATAGTTAACTTCTGGGCTGCTGTGTTTCGGTTTCCTAGTAGATGTATGAAGGAGATAGACAACTTTGTGCTGTATTTATGTGGACAGAGCCTGATTTGTGAATCACTGGAGCAAAGATTACTTGGACAGAGATTTGTAAAACAAAGAGTGAAGGGGGGTCTTGGCATTAGAAGCTTGAAGGAAGTTAATCTGATTTTTGGGCTCAAGCTCATTTGGAGGATGTTAATCGGATAGTCTTTGTGGGGGAAGTGGATAAAAGAGAATTTTCTTAGAGAAAAAAGTTTTTGGGAAATCAAAAAGATGAATCAGGTTGGCTCTTGGATGTGGAAAAAAATGCTAAAGCTGAGAGATGTAGCAAAGGCTTTTTACAGGAAAGTAATAGGAAGTGGTCGTCAAACTTCTTATTGGTTTGATAGATGGTCTGAAAGGGGTTCTGTTTGATATCTTGGGTCATCGAGGTTTTATAGACATGGGTATAATAGGGAAGCTACTGTGGCAGATGCAATGAGAAGTAACAGAAGGGGTAGTAGACGCCGTATGGTTATACTGAGAAGTTTTGAAACAGCGCTGCTGGAGTTACGAGGGAAACTGAATGATAATATGATGTTAGTCTTTGGAGGAGAAAATCTGGGGTCAAATGTAAATTTTTTACTCAGGAAATTTGGATGCTAGTAAGGGAAGTAGGTGTGCAGTGTTCATGGACTCCGGGTGTTTGGTTTTCCCAAAGCAACACTTAAGTCTGCATTCATGACATGGTTAGCTAGGCAAGATAAAATGTCTACTATGGACAGAATCTCGAAATGGAGCAGAGGTGTGGATACTACCTGTGTGTTGTGCAAGTGCTCTGCTGAATCAAAGGACAGTCTCTTTTTTTAGTGTACTTTCTCTTCTCAGATTTGGGAACACCTTGTGAAAGGCATATTGCGTAACACTTACACAGCTAAGAAATAGGAGCATTTCAAATCTCCATCCATGCGGTTTGGCAGGAAAGAAATAGGATTAGACATGGAGCAAGGTATATTCCAATTGATGATTACTGAGAAGGGAGTTAGGAACAAACTAAGCTTGATGAGAGAGAAAGGTGGAAAGAATTTGGAGCGAGTTATACAATTTTGGTTTGTTACAAGGATATAATTGAGTTATACAATTTTGGTTTGTTACAAGGATATAATTGAGTGTTTCTAATGTAGTTCATTTATAAAAAGGTAGCATTTTTGATGTAAAAAGGCTTTTTGATGAATAAGAATGTAATATTCATTTAAAAAAAAAAGAATAACGTACCATACAAAAATCTGGCCAAGGATAAGCTTCTGTTTGGTTAGGACAGCTCTGTGACAATCTGTCTGATGCGTCTTAAATGCACTCTGAACAAGTCACTGGTTTAGTCTCAGGGATGCACATGGCAATGATGAAGATTCTGTTGGGAGTTTGAACAATCGAGGAGTTAAAGAAACCGTTGTGAGATGTGAAATTAGAAGCAAGAGAAGACAGGATTTGACGACGGTTTGAATGGTAGGTACTATTGGGTCTAAAGTAACCATTCAAGCAGATTTGTGAAGAAACAACATCCACGCTCATGAGGAAAGAACAGAAGAATAGTAAACATGAAGTCTTGGGCTTCATTCTCTCAATATGAGAACCAAAGGGTTGTGTTTAGATGTTAGAAATTAGAAGGCAAATCTCCAAATGTTTGCCGTGATAGAGAAGATGAGGCCATCTTCAAACCGTGTGTAGCTTTTCTTTGCACATTATCCATGGAGAAATGATGAAAAGGGACAAGACATAGAGACACCACCAATGAGGATGACAATTAAAACTATCTATCCACCAATTCGGCAAATAGATTGTGAAATGTCTGAACATTCCTGTGATGTCTACATCAGATTCCTTTAGTGGAGTTAACAGACTAAGTTTGAGGTCAATAGCTACAAAGAAGTCAAGGTCAACCAATAAACTTTTCGGAAAACCAAAATATTTTCGAAATTACATGAATATTCATTTTCAAAATATCAAAAACCCAAAATTAATTTTTTGTTTTAAACTCTAAATCTTTAGCATGAATGCAACACAAATAAATCATGGGCAAATCCTACATGGAACTAGGACTTGGAACATATCTAAATCTCTGTGTACTTGTCCATATCTACCCACTTGAACCAACACATAAATGTATATAGAAACCGAACTTTTTATTCAAATAAAAAGGATAATATTTTGTCTTCACAACTGAACCAGCATATCCTTTCATAGTCTCCCACAGTTGAACGAATCTATGATTCTTCTTCACCAGTTAGAGTCAAACTAAACTCCCATAGTTTCTTAGCCAAATCTGTGTCTTTACCCTGAGAATTAGGGTTAGATATGTTGTTGTCCATCAAGTACTCCCCACTCACTCCCTTTGCTTGCGGATGTAGCGCTGCGTAACATGTAGTTGCTGCTCCCTGCAACAAACACATGAATGTATGTGTGTGAGTTGAGACACAATGATCCAAATGCATGAGAATGGTGATGAATTTGGAAGTAAATTACATATGGAGAAATAAAATAAAAGCCTACCTGAGGGATACTTTTAAGCACATACTTGCCCACCGCGTTGCCAAGTGCTGCATCAAACAAGCGAAAATAAAAGAGGAAGTCGTTAGATTGACCACTCCACAGTTCATGACACTAGCGGTTGGTCCTCTAATGCATCCATTGTTAAATCATAAACATTCATTGACAAGCTTAATACGGTAAGCATAGGATAAGCAAAGTTCACTTTATACTAGTTACACACTAAAACATCACCTATGATATAATTCTGAGGGCAGGGTTAGAACAAATTCTTACTATTTATGAAGCTGTGGTAGCGCAAAAGATTGGTCATAATGGATCCAGGATGGAGTGAATTGGCAGTTATATTCACACCTTGTTCCTGTTTTGAGCAAAACCAACAAAGATCGACAAAACTCAACTCCGTTAGCTTTTTCTTTGAAACTTTGGAACTGATAAAGACAAAATCAGTAGAGTACCTTGAACTGCCTAGCAAGCTCAGTTGCGTGCAATATGTTACAGAGCTTTGACTGACCATATGCTTGCAAAGTATTGTAACTGCAAAGAAACAATGAGAGCGATAGTAGAGTATGTTTACAACTGAAACCAAAAGTAATGAACAATACTATCACCTAACAATCACCTTGCTTCGTCATTTATTTTGTCGATCCGAATCCCTTCTCGGTAAGCATAACGATGACCTTCTGATGAGACAATGACAATCCTTCCTTCAATGTTGCTCTCATTAGCTGTTTTCTTCATCATATCCAAAAGAAGGTTCGTCAATAGAAAATGACCTGACAAGTTGAATTTGAATACAGACAGAAAATGTTCCTCATTATAAGTTTATACAATCCAACAAAGATGCCAAAAAAAATGAAGGATCATAAGCTTTTTTTTTTCTGGTTAAACATACCCAAATGATTGGTCGCAAACTGTAACTCGAAGTTGTCACTTGAAAGCGTGAAGGGACATGCCATGATCCCTGCATTATTGCTTCAAGAACAAGAACATAGATTAACTTAAGCAAGTAATGATATTAAAAGACAAGACAGTGGTTTGGAAAAAAATTACATGAGAAGATTCAATGGAAGGTCCAAGGACTTGTACTGTGATGCAAAGCTCCTGACGGAAGCCAATGAGCTAAGATCTAACTTCATAACATCAATCTTAGCTTGAGGTGTTTCCTTAAGTATCTTTGCTCTGACTTGATTACCAGAATCTACGTTTCTTACAGCCATTACCACATGAACACCACGAAGAGCAAGAACACGTGTAGTCTCTTCTCCAATACCACTTGATGCTCCTGTAAACCAATAAAGTTTGATCCTTTCTTCAATTAACTAGATACCCACAAAGACTTTACTGCTGGATCAGTTCAAGAGCAGGATCAAATTCAAATCCAAGAACTGAAACGAATACAGATCATAGAGAAGTTGAGGGAGAAGAAGAAGAAGAGGACCTGTGATGATTGCGGTGAGAGCAGTACCGTCGATTCCATGAGTGACTTGTTCAGCTGTGGAGTGAGCTGAGAATCCAGATGCTCCTTTCCACCAAAATGGCCACATTTTTATTCTTCTTTGCGAAATTGAAAATCCACAAACGAAACCCTAGCTGATTAACACACCTCTATGAAAATTATTTAGTTATACAGACTTCGGATTTAATGTCGTCTCTTGCTCATTCTCTGTTCTCAGATGAGCGCAAGTAGCAGTTGACGAATACAGTATAAAATATTTAGAATGAATATCTAGAGATGGTAAACAGGTTGTCCCATTCCTTTCCGGATTACAGTAGGATTTTTTTTACAGGATTCAGGTCTGCGTCTCCGAAATAGCTGTCTAAACACGTCCTCTTATATGTACAAGCCTTCACGAATTTACAACGTTTTAGATCACTCCAAAATGTTTTAGATCACTCGCTCAAGTCGTCAATTTAACTTGATATAATTCATTATTTACTGATTTGTTTATTTTTATTCAAACAATAATTATAGTTATTTTTATCACATCCAAAACATATTAATATATTATTATATAAATTTTGATTTTCAAAGTTGCTAATTAAGATGATTATGACACATTACAATTAAGAAAATATAACATCTTCTTCTATAATTATCTTTTTAAAATTGTGACATGTGTTAAAATATCTCATGATTAATATTTTTTTTTATATAAGATATATAAGAAAATTTAATATTAATAACGATTTTTTTAAAAAAATATAAAATTTAAAATTATTTATTAATATTATTCTCTAGATTATTTTGTTTTTTTCTTTAAAAAAATGGAACATGTTATAAAATATACCATCTTATTATAAGAAAAGTTAATATTAAAAACGATTTTTTTAAAAATATAAAATTTAAAATTATTTAGTAATATTAATTTCTAGATTATTTCATTTTTTTGGAAAAAAATTGGAACATGTTAAAATATACCATCTTATTATATAAGATATATACGAAAGTTAATATTAAAAAGAAATTTTGGTACAATATCAAATTTAATATTATTTAGTAATTATATTTTCTAGATTAGTTTGTTTTTCCAAATCCTAAACAAGTAGCAGCCGTTTCCAGCTATTGTTTCCTTCCCAAAGGCAGATTCTTACGCGTTATTCACCCGTCCGCCACTAGAAACACCACTTCTAAGATTAATACAATATTTTTTTCTTAATTTAATACTAATTTTAGTTTCTATAAACTTTAAAAAATATAATTGTAAAAAATTATTTGATAGTAGCTAATATTTTTTGATGTAATAATAATTTAATTTTTCTAAAATTCTAAAGAAAATAAAACTAAAAAAATTTAATAAAAATGAATTACTAAATTTCCTTTTCTAAAATCTTAAGTAAAAGGTAACTGTAAAATAATTAATTAATAATAATTTTTCTTTTTAAATTTTTTAACAAAACATTGTAAAAGTGTGTTTAATGATAATGTTCGTTTATTCAAATCCTCAGCAAAATAAAATTTGTAAACTTTCCTATTTAAATAGTTAATTTTCGTTGTAAGCTTTAATAAGATAAAATTACTAAATCATAAACCCCAAAGGAACTACGACTATTCACAGCTTTTTATAGGAGTAACTTTCTCATATTTTTGTCACTACTCATATTTGATCACCAAACATAATATTAGGGAATTAAAAAAGATATTTTTCATTATCTTATAACTCATAAGTTCATAATCAATGTGTTTAGTATGTTGAATCCAAAAATTAAATAAAATCAAACACCAATCAAAGTTGCTACACCAAATTAAATAAAAAGAGAAAATCAAATCAAAACACCGCCAAAACTCGAATCGTCATCGCCGGAGCTTGAATCATCATTACTGAAACTTGAATCATCATCACTAGAGCTCCTTACATTTTATCGGGAAAGTCACATGAACTATCTTATTCTCACTCTTTTTCTCATTTTTTCAGGTAAAACAAAAAATGAAGAAAAATGCGAGTCTGATTCGTTTTGGCCCATCTCGCAAAAGATCAAGTCTCGCAAAGACCCATCTTGCAAGGCCCGCAAATTTATAATTTTTCGTTGAAATTTAGTTGTCATTCTAAATCGAATGGATTCAAAATTTTGATATCTAAAAAACCGAAACCAGAACGGATACAAACCAAAATATTTTGGATATCCGATTATATCCAAATCAGATTTATATACTTGAATATATTAATTATTTTTAAATTTAATATCCAAAATATCTAAAACATATCAGCTATTCTAAAATTTTCTTCATTATTTGAAAAATATAAAAATATTAAAAGTAAATATCTAAAATAGTTAAACAATTTTACTTATAATACTTACAATATTTGTTGATTCTCCATCTAAATATTCAAGTCAAATCAATTTTTATATTAATTTTAAGTATTTTGACATATATTATTAAAATATATATGCTATATATGTTTTTTTCTTTTTAGATTATGAAAAATTTAAAATATATATAAATTTTAATAATATAACAATAGTTTAAATGGATTATCCGAATCTGAACCAAAATTTTTAATGGAACCAATATCTTTAAATCTGAAAACTAAAACCCAAATAAATCCGAACCGAATCTGAATGGGTAGTCTAACACTCATCCTAGAATAAATTATGTACAGTAGTATTTCAGGGTATTATCTGAAGTACCGTACAAAAACCCAAAAAATGTCAACCGAAAATTCAAAGTAATATCCAAAATAAAATAAGTGTTGAAAACTAAAAAAATACATCAAATCTCTAATTTCATACTAATTTAACTCAAAACATTTAAAACTCGGCTAATTCCAACGCTTACGCCTACATAATTTTTTCGGTTCAATCTGACGTTTCAATCTCCTAATTGTCGAAATACCGTACTAACCAGTCGATCCGAACCACGCAAGCATACATCTATATATTCATTCACGTTAAAGTCCAGGTTCCCAAGTTCATGAAAAAAGATCACGTCCCTCAACGGATACAAATGACGTTAACAGTAGAACCTTTGTTTGGGATATTAATCCATGAAAAGAAGCTGTTCAAAGTCTAAAGTTTTACAGCAGAAATTAACTGAAATATTCAGACAAACCAAGATAAACGGATAGCTGAGTAAAGAAAGAGAAAAACTCTCTTGGTGTGTACTAGAGCAAAAAAGAGTCTTAAGAGGTTTTTAAAATCCTCACTAGAGAAAACATTGAGCAAGTTTCATTTAATCCCTCAATAGAACAGAGAACTGGCTAAAAGAAGGGCAAGAGCCTGTGATGTGAAAAATCCAGAGATCACTTTCATTCCATAGAGATTTGGGACCAAAAAAGAATGCAACTCAACGCTGTCCTGGCTTGGGCCTGGAGCTTCCAAACGGGGAGCGACGCTCTTCACCACTTCGCCAAGTATCACCACCACTTTGGCGGTTACTGCTGCTAGCACTGGTCCAGTTGTCAGACTTCTGAGGCGGTCCACGGTTGTTCCAGCTATCAGATGCAGCAGCTGGTGGTGTGGGCGTTGGAGCTGCAGGGCCTGACATTTCAGCTTGACGCTTCCACCTAGGAACATATTTACCGGAGCCTGATGATGGCGCCACTGCTTGTGCAGGTGCAGCAGCAGTAACTGTAGGCTCTGCAGGGCGAGCAGGTGGTGCGTCAGTTCCCTTCAATACCTCCTCACGCATCCGCTTCGCTTTCTCCTCCAGCTCTAGCTCTCTCTGTCTTTGCTTTTCAGCAATTTCATCCAACTTGGCTTTGTGTTCAGCTTGTTCCTTCTTGCGTTTCTCAGCTTCTATATAAGAAACAAAACAAGGGGCGTTATATTAGAAAAAAAAACCAAAATTGATGCAAGTGATGTGAATTTATGGAAACAGATGTCACCTTCACGCTTGCGAGCTTCCTCTTCTTCCTGAAGCTTTCTTATTCTTTCTTCTTCACATGTCAAATAGTACATCTGCTTCCTTTTGATATCCCTTTCTTGCTTCCTGGCTCGAATTATTTGGCTGATGCGCTCCTCTCTCTCTGTCTTTATTCTGTCAAACTCTGCTTGACGACGACTAATCACTTCCTCTTGGAATTTTTCCTGGACGCATAAAGATTAGATTATGAGTAAGCTTCAAAAGAAAATATTACGGTAATGTATGAAGAGATGAAAATTAAGAGAAACAACTTGACATGTCAAAACTGACCTTAAAATCCAACATTCTGGACAATCTGCTCTTCTCCTTCAAGTCACTCTCATGACGCTCTCTACTGAGCTCAACTTCACGCTGAAAAAGAAAAGAGCGTTTAAGGACCTCATACACTTCAACTCAGAACCGAGTTATAAGGAATGAAATGTTTTACCTGTTGCTCGCGTTCATAGAACTCTCTTTCCTCTACCAGTCTTCTCTGATATGCAGCTTCAATCACTGGAGCAGCTTCTTCTCTCTTTGCTCGTTCTAAATAATCCATAGTTTTGGCAAGTTTTTGGAGTTTCTTCTCCATTTCCTGCCTTTCCCTGACCTGTTCGGTCAAGGCCATCTGCATCACAGTTTGCTTTGTCACCTTTTCCTACAATTTATTTGAACCAATATTAGTTATACGCAAAAACTCAGTGAGCTAACATCTAACATTTTGTGTTAATAAGCTTACTCCATCTAAAAGCGGCTTCTTCTTTCCCTTTTTCATGCGTTTCTCTGCGTCCTCCAGTAACGCCTGAGCTTCTTCAAGCTCCTTCTGCTCTATCTCCCTAAGAATTCTTTGTTTCCTTCTCTCTTGAATCTCTGCCACAAGCCTTTTTTGTTCTGCCTCCTCGGTAAGCTTCTGAAGTTTAAGCCGTTTCTGTTCCTCTTCACGTTCCTACAAAAGCAAAATTCAAATCAAGGGATTAGTATCAACCGCACAGCGTTGATGGAGAAGTATGAAAAGCAATGTAAAAAAACTACCATTTCTAGTTGCTGGCGCTCTTGATCCTCCTTCCTCTTTTCAATGATTGATTTCCGAGCAAGCAGTCTTTTGTGCTCCTTCTCAACAGTCTCCGCTAGATTTGGTACTATGCCACCTAGCTTAGATGCTTTACTTGGAACAGGATACAGCATAGCTCTTACTTTGCTCAATGACTCGGCAAAGACAGCCAGATGATCTTTCAGTCCATCAGACTCAATACCCTAATAGGAAAACAGTCCACAAAATAACTTTAGTATCTACCAAAGGGTCAAAAAGTTAAAGAGTTATACCACTCAATGATGGGCATGAAAAGCAGAATATCAACATAGGCTTACCAAATTTCCAAAAATTACAACACCCTTCATATGATCAACTTTCATGGCAACAAAGTTGTTCTTCACAGCATCAACAGATATCTTCTCTACCACTGAGAACT